CGAACAATCGTAGCTCGTACACGCCTCGGACAGCCGGGCGTGGACTGGTCGATTTTCTCTTTGGCAGCCAAGATCTATTGACACTCAGGGCGCATTCACGGTCGCATTCGTGTGCGCGCAGTGATTTAAACTTGCTCGCTTCTAATTACGCGGCGATATTTCCTAATCAGTCCAGTTTCACCGGCGCCTGTTGGCTGCGTGTCTGTTCACGCGCGCCAAAAACGCGTGTGTGTGGCGATGTCACGCGACCGGAAAACTTATGAAGTTCAGTGTCGATCGGTGACCCTCTCGTCCTCGTCGCGGATCGCAACCGTAATTTCACCCTTGAAGTTACGCCACGAATGACGCCGCTCTCTGCTCCCGAGTATGCATTGTGGATCGGGCTTAAAGGCATATATACATATATACGAACTGGACTGGGGGACTGGTTTTCTTCGAAAGATACTTTTCAGCCGTCGTCGGGCCCGGTGCGGCGGTGAAGCGGGCAGGCAAGGATGAGAGCAAGGAGAGACGAGGAGCATGGTTGATTTTTTACCTTCGTGGCGACCTTGCCAGCCGAGCAAGGATCCTCGCGTTTATTGACCCCGACAACCATTCTCCTCTGCAAGCCCGTTGTGCATTCGAGTTGTGCTCGGCCCCTCGATCCCTCTCTCGCTTATCTTCGTCTTCAGCTGATGCTTTCGAGAGGTAAACATCCTCCAGAAACGAGTACGACCTCTTCTTATTCGCCGAAGCCGTTTCAATCGGTGAACTTGCTCGATCCGCGACCGCGTAATTTTCTTAGATTCCCGCCCCTTCCCCCATGGTCGTCGAGCGTAATCGCTTCTGAAAATCGAACTGTTTTGCTCGTTGCTACTGTTACCCGTTACGTACAAGCCCGTCCGGCTCCGATTAAAATGATAATGGCACGCTACATTCGCCGACGTTCAGGCATTTCATCGTCTTTGTTGGCTGGCTAATAACAATCGCGCGCAACCTGTTGCACCGTTTCCACTCGATTCACGGTGACTACGTAAGATCCATGTTATTGACTTACATATGCAAGGTGTAAATGACTCGCGCCATGATCCGATCCGCTTCCACGCGAATGCTTTCGCAATTAACACCGTCTTTGTCTCGTTAGCGGTTATTGATTGCGCGAAGCAACCAGCGCGGCTCTCTTTCGAAATCTGTCGGACGTTATCGTGTCGAATATCGACATATTTCCATCGGATCGCGGTGTCATCATCTTCTCGCCGAGTCGATTCTGCTTTTAAACCGATCCGTGAAAGTGGGCGTTCGAGTTACTTCCCGAGCAACGATATTCGCGCGCTTTCGAAAAATTTCGTTTCCAGCGGATGGCGTCGCGTTGTTATTTCTTTTTCTTTTTCTTTTCTTTGTTTCGCGTGAAAATCGCTAGGTATAACGTGCGAAAGCGACCGAGTTCCCCCCAAGTTCCATCGAATGTTTCCTTCGATCAGGGAAAACCTGAGACTGCGACTCGCGACTTTCTGGGGCCTCTCTCGCTATTAAGAAAAATATCCTCAATCGCCAATTTCCGAGAATAAATCGCGCGGAGTAATAAATTTCATCGTCATAAATTGCAACGACGTAATCGATTCAGTTAAAAGGCTACTTGCGCCGATATCGCGGCTGCATTAAGCGGATTAAGCAGCTGCATTTCCCAATTGACGAAATGTCACGCGCAATGTACAAGTCGTCCTGGCGTACTTTCGGTGGGCAGTTTGCAATGCCGTATTCGTAATTCGTGACTCATGCGATGAGTTATCGCTCGCGAGCTCTCAGTTGCAAATTCTCGAACTCATTGTATAGAAATCATGTGACCGTGCGATTGCATCAAGGTCATACACACCGAATAAAGTTACCGATTGCATATCGATTTAGCGTGGCGTACCGTTTCCAACGTATGAAACGCTCGCGTGACGTTAACAATTGATTCCGTTTCATCGACCATCGATAACTCTCGATGCAAGGACGCCATCGTTCGACGAATTCCATCCGTCCACCAGTACAGAATTTTTATTTAACCCTTTGCGGTTCTCGCTGGGTCGAACAAATTTTGTTGAAGAAAGTGATATCATGTGCTAAAGCGTTAAATATACAAAGTTAATTGAAAAATATAAATTTTGTTCATGAAATTTTAAACTTTGTTAAAGAACAATAATAATTATTATTTTATAATGCACAAATATGTTTTAGTCCTTGTTTTTTTTCAGAGTGTGAAATTTCTCGAAGCAATCCCCAATATGGCAGTAGAATCGATAAGTAACTAGTGATAACTTCTGCTATCACTATCACTGTTGTCTGAAAAATTCAAATTTACAGAATTTTCTTTTAGTATTTCATCGTCGTAAATACCGAACACAAACTCGTCTTCACTGCTGCTAACATAGTTATCGTCAATAAAATCTTCTGTTTCCTTATTTTGCGACGTATTTTGGGGTTATATAAAAAAACTAGTGAAACTTATTTTGATTTTAGCAAATGTAAACTCAAGTCACCAATCAAAGCAAGACTGTGATATCTCTATGTCTGAGTAACATTCACTTAAGTCGTTATTTATTGCAATTCCTGTGAAACGAAAAGCAAAAAAGTAATGGTTTATAAAGTATACTACCCAATATTAACAACAAAGTATTGCCAAATTGAAAACGAAGTTATTTTCTGTCGCCTTTGCAGCGACTTTCGACTTAGTGAATAGAAGTGTGATGTCGCTTGTGCGGCGACATTCGTCCGCAAAGAGTTAAAAATCCACCGTTGAGATGGATTTTCATGGACTCGCGCGAATCTCGTGACGGGGATCGGAAAATCGGTGGTCGAGGAAGAGGGACAAAACGGTCCATGCAGGTCGAAAGTCGGGCACGTACATGAGCCATATTGGTTTCAACGGCAGTTTACGCTCGTCGGTTTATGCCATTAAGGTCATTACCTGAACCTGCTTCGCCGCGGCTGTGTGTACACGAGTAACATGTGTGCCATCATTAATAACTACACGTCGACACTTGCGTTTCTTTGATCGGGCAGACTGTTTCTTTGAGGTGGCTACTTGTCGTGGAATGACGCCACGAGTTATTTCGATAACCGCTCGAACGATGGCGCCGCGTTTTTTCGGCCGTCCACTGCTAGCTTCGTTACAGACGCCATCCACCGATCGTACAGAACGCGCCTGTTTCTGCTCTAACAATAAAAAGATTCCCTCCGGAGAGAGAAATTACCGCGTTCCCGTTAACCGATCGAATACCAATCGAGCATAGTTACGATGCTCGCCGCGATCATCCGTGACTTTTCAGATTGTTTTTGCGTCTGGGGAAAAGATCGCTAAAGTGTCCAGCCGGATAGAGCCTGGAACATTCGCGTTCGCATCCACAAAACGTCGCCATAAATTGTTCAGCTATCGTTTGTACGATTAGTACAGTGTTCGGGTATGATAGGATATAAACTCGCTTAATTAGCGAGAAGAAGAACAAAACAATCTTAATAAAGAAAGAAACGCGTGGCATTGATTTCGCAGGCACCCGGCGTGCGCGCAGCGTGTCCCTGCAAGAAAGTAACAGCTTGTGAAATCGACTGTTATTTATGAAAGGCGTTTTCTCACGACGTTTTTTTCTCTCTCTCTCGTTATTTGTTGCACGCCGGTAAGGAGGCATATCGATTTCGAGGTCATTTGCTAATTGCCAATGCGTTGAACTCTGTTGGCGTGTTTGGCGTTGCGCGGTACCATATGGTACATCGCTGAGTTTGAAAAAGACTGTATCGATTGTAACACCTCTGTAGAAAACGTAGAAGCGCGCAATATCGGGGATTAATATTGTAACACGGTTAGACAAAAAAAAAAAAAAAAAAAAAAAAGAAAAAAAAAACGTTTCTTTTAACGTATTATCACGAGATGCATCGCGGAATTTCGCTACCACGAATTATCGAGCCACATTCCTTCCACAAAAATTGTTCAACGTTTCGCCAAGGTGCGCAAAAGTTAATAAAGGTGCTGTAACATCGTCAATTGTAGCGGCAACGCGAAAAGTTACATAACAAACACGTAACGCGAGTTACGAACGGGAACCGGCAATCTAGCATTCTTCCAGCGAGTGTGTTTAGGTTCCTTTCGAGAATTGGCGGTCTTAAATTCTGGCGGCGCTACGGCCGACTGCCTGTTCGACGCGCTCGCGCTCACGCTCATCTAATTGTAAACGGGCGGTTATGCTAGTGCGGCTGACTAATAGCGTATTCTCTACATGCAGTGCGCATCGTTTTTCACGCGTTTCATGTTTACGAACCAATCGCGTGAATAACCACAAGCGATTATATAATCGTGGTATCGCTCGGTGATGAGCAATCGCCCTTTCTTCCTTCGACGCTCCGTTCAGACGATTTTTAAACGAATTTTCTTAACTCGAATTTATCTATCGCGCTCTTCGCGAAATTATTTACAGATAGTTTACCTATCAAATATCTTCTCGTCGCGAGATTTTATCGACGCTGTACAAGGCCTGTTACCAGCATCGAACGGCGTTAATATTGTGGTTAAACAATGATGCACAGGTAGTCACACGTGTAACAAGCAAGTTTGCAAAGTTTCGTGCAAGCACATTTGCATTCATGCAACGAGCTAGCGACTACGTAGCGGCGAATGCACGCGCGAAAGTCGCGCTTTGAGGTGCAGATCGGTCGATAGCGCGGCACGTAGTATGTAGTATGTAGTATCGCAAACGTGCTCGCTCGATTAACGAATCACCGAACGAATTTCACCGAACGTAGAGGACAGGACTGACATATTATTGCCTCTCGATAATTATGCCCTTTTTGTGCCGCGGCCTGACTGAGTAATCGGCTTACCAGCGACAATTTGGTAACCGTCTGTTCTCGGTGAAAGTCCGCGGCAGATCTCCGCGTGCCTCGTTTCTACTTTGATATAGTTGCAGTCTCTTCGCGCTCGAAAGTTTGAAACAGTGAGTGAAAATAACCGAGCGAAGTAACCGAACCGTTGGCCATTTCTTTCACAGGCCTGATGATGGAGTCGGAGAAAAAGATCTTCGAGATGATGAACAAGAAGGCGGCCATGTCGAAGTACTGGATGCCTCTGGTCTGGGCGACCAACATCATCAACCGGGCGAGGAGGGAAGCACTGATAACCAGCGACCAAGTAGTGCAAACCCTCCTGGTCGAGCTTAGCGACATCCGGAAGAGGCTTGGCGCGCTCATTGGTTACGACACTGTTTGCGTTCCTCTCGTTTACACTCAGGTGAGTATCGCGATACTCTGATGAACCGTGTCAAACACGTGTCCCCATGTCATGGATGTTAATATCCATGTTTAAAAGGCAAACAACCTTCGTCGAAATGAAATTATTAGAGGTATCCATAAATATTCAATTATTTTGCGTTTGTTGGAGTGTTACTTTTCTCTTGACTGAACTGTCATTTTTTTTTTTTTTCTAACAATTTGTAATTGTTAGCAATACAACGTTAGCAATGCAACTAACTCCAAGTTTCGATAACTCGAAGTGAACTATTATATCATTACGATCCTACCAAACGCACGATAAAACCCTTCTCACGAAGATAGTCATTGTTTGTTTCGCCTTAGGTTGTCGTAGAGGATCCATTTCTCGTCTCCGGTGACGATCCTAGGTCAAAATAGATCTGTATGCAATCTGGTGAGCAATGAAGTGCAAACTGTTCGTCGAAGATTTTTATACCTTGCTGATCAAAGTTTCTTGATAATTCCTGTACACTTAACCTTGGATCAGACTCCACTAAAGATTTTAAGTCAAATTTAACTGGTCGTCCACTTCGAGGTATGTCAGACAGGTCATAATCATCAGCAACAAATCCCCTGAATCAATGCTGATATTTGTTGATCTTTAACACATCTTCATAGATATCAGAAATTTCCCTCGTTGTTTCACTAAATCCCGCATGAAAATGAAAAAGTACGCAATTACGAATGTGACTCTCAGGAGATATGAACTTCGCCATTTTACTGCAGGACGATAAGAAAATTTTAAATTCTTCGCAATAATTAGCTAACAGGATGTTATTAAAAAAAAAAAAGAAAACGTTTCTCTCGCTCGTACAGTCTAATGACAACTGAACTCTGTAACAAAAATTGATTACTTGTGGGTACACCTAATACATCGACGAGCATTGTCGAAGAACGAGGACTCAATGGAGGAGTAGCACAAGTATCATTCCGCGATTTCGAATCTCATTCAGGAATCGCGGAGAATGATAATTGCGGCGATGTTTATCGTCATTGAGAAGTGCCAAGCGTTTCAAACGAACGTCTTCGTCCCGAGACGATTCTCATTGTTACCACTTCGTCGCTTTGATACTGCTGACAGCGTACGACGCACACTTTGCGTAACTCTTAATTCCGTTGTTAGCATCACAATGCAGCAATGTTTTCTCTCGCCGCTTCCTCCAATCAAAGTTTTCCGAGATGAGATCTCTCGAACGTTTCCAAGTTCGTACATCGGGCTCGTCTTCTTCAGCGAGAGTCTTCTCGAGTCGAAGCGCGAGGCGGCGTTAAGGGAACGGCATTTCAATTTTCCCCGGCAGAGTAATCTCCGCGGCGAAAAAAAAAAAAAAAAGAAAAAGTTAACGAGCTTCTCGCGATCATTAGAAAGTACGTCATCTCGTTGCAACACGATATCATCGATAAAAGACTCGATGCGTAATTGCGGAGGCCGCCGACATCCGTTCAATCCTCGACAAGCGGTTAAAAAGCTAAGCAGCTGCTCAGGTACCCTCGATCGTGAACAACGCGTCCCCGTGGCTCTTCATCCAATTCGAGAGACTCGATTTATCGCGGCGCAACAACAAAATAGATCCATTCTTGGAAGGATGTTTCGCATTCGCAATTAGTCGGCACGTATGCATTGTGCAACGTTAATTACTCATCAGCTAACGTCCCTAATTGTTGGCTACGAACCACGAACGCCATTATTTTCACGATTATTGAAGAGCCGCTCACCTCGTAATCTCGCGTATACGTGACCGATGGCCGAGTCGCGGATCCTTCAAATCGAGCCGTAATAAATTCGACTTTAATGTCATCATTCTCGAAAAGTAGTTAACAAACACGGATCTGGGAATGAGTAACCGAATCAGTCACGGTCGAGATTACATGCACGATGAGAGAATATTCATTCATCGAGCGAGATTGCGTCATCGGTTGCTAAGATATACAATAATAATTTAGAGACGTCGGACAGAGAAGAGGAAAAAAGAAAATACGGTAGAAAGGTCGATCGTCGGACGATCTCGATACCGATTATATTTAGATCGATCGCAGACGACATACAAAGATGCGGATAAACAGTTCAATTAGTCAGCGGCGTGAAATGCGGCTTATTTTTATTTCCATGACTCGTACGCTTCACATAAATTATACCATTAATAAAACTGCGTCGATGAGTCGCCTCGGTATTATCAATCAGCGTGTGAAATGCTTGGGATTCTTGATGTTGGAAAATAGAGTGAAAAAAACATCAAATGCTACGCGAGCAACGTGGTAATTCGCTAAACCGGAGACATTTCATTACGAAGATTTCGAGAGATAAACGCTCGGTCGGATTGCCTCGAATTAGCGAAAATAACGAGGAGAGCGGGCACGGAGAGTGGAGAGTTCAGGAAGAGCGGAGATCCAGCAGTAATTATTTTCCTTGTCGTGTTTACGTGTCGAAACAGAACCGCGGCGAGCGTTCCTCTTTCACCAATCGTATCTTGTCTCCGCGGTAAAAAGCAGGATAAAATCGCAAGGTTGCGAGTTCCACCAGCACGGTTCTGCGTGTCGTGTAACGATACGTTTGCGGAACGCCGTATCCATCGGTTCCCGCGAACGTTTGTACAGCACGTACTCGCTTCCACGCAGGTTTTATAAATTTGCAAAGGAGAAACGA